GGGGACAGCGACGCCTGCAGGTACTCGGCGCTCAGCTGGAGACACAAGCTGATCCCAGGTGGCTTTGGGGGCTCTCCTCAGCCTGGCTCTAATCAGGAGGTTCCCAAGGGAGCCTGTTCCCACAGAAGCCCCGGACACCGGGTGCCAGCGCAGGCACGAGGACCAGGAGGGAGAACTGCTGCTCCCGTGGGGAGGAGAGGTGGACTGCGCCTCGCGAGCAAGCAGCGGACACAGAACAACCCCCTGGCTGGAGCAACGGCCTGCAAACTGGAAACAAGCACACCAGCACCCGTGAGCTGGAAAACAGTGTTTATCTTGGAAAGTACAGCCAGCACCTGGGGAACACCGCGAGAGACAAGGAAGGCATGGAGACACCCGTGGAGGACAAGGCAGGCATTCCGGCAGCACCAGGCACTGCACGAGCGCCAGACACCTCCTCGGGTGTTTTGTTCTGTCCTGTGCCGACTCGAGCCCACGGCAGCACTTCTTACCTTTTGCAATTTGCCTTCCTTATAGGCCTTCTGGTCCTTGATTATGTCAGGAAGATACTTGGCACAGTACAGGGCAACTTCTTCCCCTGAAAGAGAGCAGAAATCGCTCGAATCATCTCCAGAGGCTGGTTCTCCCCGTGGCAAGAGGGATTCCTGAGCATCAAACCCTGAGGCCAATCCGGGGACACAGACAGAGCCACCATGGCCAGGGGGAGGCGGTGGCGCAGCCGTCCCGCACGGACGCGCCTGGGCAGCCCCGCGCGGCTCCTTCGGCTGCGCCCCGGCCCCCCTCGAGCCGAGCCAGCGGGCAGAGCGCTCCGGCCGTTCTACCCAACGGGCTCCGTTTCACGGGTAAGCACAGGGAGATACCAGCAAGGGGAGCGGAAGGTCTGGGAACGCGGCCGCTCTCCAATGGTGTGTGACGAGCAGAGCTTCCCAGGACACAGCCCAGACCAGGGAGGGAGGGACGGCCTGGAGACGCAGCTGCGGGGACACGGCCGCAGCCCGGGCGCACTCGGAGAGCTGCTCAGGGAGGCCCAACAGCCACAGACATTTTCGCAGCGCACTAACAAATACCAGCAAGTGCTCAACAGAGCCCAGGAGACACCTCGGTGATCACGGAATGATTCTTCCCAGCCCCAGAAGGTGCTATTGGGCGAGGAAGAAGCCGCAATGGAGTGAAGAACCACGAATTTCTCTAGCTCAGCTCAGCAAGGGGGACCATTAAGTGCAGCTCTAGTTGAAAAAAAATGTATTCAATTATGTTTGTGCGTGAGAGACAGAGAACCGTCTAGGTAATAGGAGTCTGGCTCACGATAAGCTGAATACAAGCAGATTACATATGTTAGCACAGCTAAAAGCAGCCATGGAGCAGAACCCCGTGCAGCTTGGACGGGAGCCTCCTCCCGGGAGGCAGCTGCTCCGAACGCGTCTCCCCGGGCGGCAGCGCCGTGCCAGCACGTTCCCTCCACATCCGATCGCCCGCCCCGCCCGCCCACCCCCAGCCAGCGAGGTGGCCCAGCAGAACCGTCCTGGAGGAAGAGCACTGCAGACATCGGCCCCCTGCATCCACGGGCGATGGATTCTGCTGGCAGGCTGCTGCTCTGCTCACACTGCTACTGGGAAAGGACAGGGAGCAGAGGCTGCTCCGAAGGGCCCGGCCCCGTGCCGCGGTGAATAACCACCCGGTGCAGGCGAGTGCCGCGGGGGATGCTCCCGGGAGCACGGGCGGCAGCGCGCTCCACGCACCCCTCTATTTGGAGAGCAGTCAGGGCCCTGGCACCGCAGCCCCAGAGCGCTCGCAGGGAGCACAGCGG